TTATGTAGTAGCGAAAACTACCACATAGTTGATGCTGGCTTTCACTACTATAATAGTAGTGAAAAACTACATAATACAGAGTTACACATTTAAAATTGGCTACAGTGGTGGTTTTCATGTATATTTTACTCCCAAAAGGCAGAGTGAAGAACACCAAAACACTTTCTTTGCCTACCTTAAACAGTAATAAAATTCCCTCAAAACGCAAGGGCTACAGTTAGGCCATCTGACTGCTTAGGAACTGTTTGCCTTGGACAAGTTTTTACAACTTCAGCTTTAGTTTCCTTATCTAAAACATGAGAACAGCCATACCTCAAAGGGTTGTTGTGGAGAATAAATATTTGTAAAGTTCTTAGGACAGTGCTTGGCATACATATTAAGCACTAGATCAACTGCAGCTGCTACGAGCAAAAGGGCGCTACTTGCAAAGAGACAACAGAAAAGCCTTGGATGACCCAAGAAGTGAGTTACTCTGTGCATATGTAATCTTTACCTGGAGGGGTCATGCAATATTCTGTTTCTTGTGGATTTTACTACAATTAAATTCAGATATAAGATATTTTGCCAATTTTCTGAAAATGTCTTAAGGATTAATGTAACACTGATTCCACATTGAAGAAGTTGGGTAGGGACAGTGTTGATTGTGGTGTTGTAAAATGGGTCAAGTGGCTGCCTGCAAAGCTGGCATCAGAAATGGCTGAAGTGCCAGCTGCTCCACCTCTGACACAGCTCCTGCTAACAGGCCTGGGGAAAACGGCAAAGATGACCCAAGTCCTTGGGTCCTTGCACTCACATGGGAGACAAGATGAAGCTCCTTGATGCTGGCTTTGGCCTGGTCCAGCCCTGGCTGCTGAGGCCATTTGGGGAGAAAACCAGAGGACGGAAGATCTTTTTCTGTTTCTTCTCTAATTCTGCCTTTTGAATAAATCAAGTAAGTCTTTAAAATATATACCTATAGTGTGAATCATGAAGCTGCAACCTGATCCTCAAACTGAAGCAAAAATAAACAGGTAATTTAATGTGGCAGCATTCATTTTTTAAAAGATTTATTTATTTTTATTGCAAAGTCAGAAATACAGAGAGGAGGAGAGACAGAGAGGAAGATCTTCTGTCCAATAACTCACTCCCCAAGCTGAGTCAATCCGAAGCCAGGAGCCTGGAACATCTGGGTACAAGATCCCAAGGCTTTGGGCTATCCTCGACTGCTTTCCCAGGCTACAAGCAGGGAGTTGGATGCGAAGGGGGGCTGCCAGGATTAGAACCAGCACCCATGTGGGATCCCGGTACATTCAAGGCAAGGACTTTAGCCTCTAGGCCACCGAGCCAGGCCTGTAGTATCATTCTTTAGCCACACAAATATATACACCAAACTTCTTCTAGGCAAATAAAAACTCCAAAATCCCCTTTAAATTATGGTGCTTTCAGAATGTTTCATAAGTTAGATTCTTTGATGATGAGCAATACCCTTAACAGAAATAATGGAAAATTGGCGACTGTAAATCTATAGGAAAAGCAAAACTCAGCACTGAAGTTCAGCTGATACACATGATCTCCTGCTGACCATGAACTCAAACCATAATATAAAATAAAAATTAGAGAACTCAATTTTGAAAGTGCAAAACAGATGCAACTGCAAAAATCACAAAGCTAGCAAATTTCTGGAGACAGTATACACAGAAGTGGCAATGATTTTATATTTAACTCTAGTTTTTAAAGATCTGTATTTAGATGTGTTTCACAACTGCACACAGTTTAAGTTCCAGTTCCTGGAAGTGCCAGTTAAATCTTATTATATACATCATCAAGACCAAACTGGGCAAGGAGAAAAATATTCAATTCTAGATATCTGATTCATTTACATCAAAAAATACTAAAAACAGAGTAATTTATTTACCTAGCCCTAACAAAAATGAAACAAGGAGTCTCATTTTAAGAACTTTCCTTAAGAAGCGTAACAAGATCATAACAAGGGGCACTTCTGCCTTGAGCTGAGGAAACTGCAGAGCTGTAACATATCGGAATAACACAGTCATGACGGAAACACTGCTGGCTTTACCTGGCACTGTTTCTACGGTCCTGGATGTCCTGAGCCAGTACAGACCAAGAGGAGTGTCAGGAGCTAGGGCAGAGCTCTGCTAACTTTGTCTGGTCCCATTTCCTATCCCTTCCTAAAGAGGCTCTTTAAAGTCATCTCCTTGGTCCCCTACTTGTCTGTGGACGTAGCCTAAAAGCCACTGGTCTACAATGAACCAAACTAGATCAGACACATTTCTCCATGTCTAGAATAAGGTACAAGCCATTATTATTCAGTTAGATCATATACACCATCAAGGGACTTCCAGGCTCAGAAGCTTTTAAAAAACATGTAAAAGTTACAATTTAGAAATTTGGTTTCCTCTTTGCTATAGGACCAAAGATCACCTGGAAACTGTCAACAAACCTGGCTAGACACACTCCAGAAACTTAGATGGCATGTAACTTGATTCTATGTGTGTATTTTGTCTTAAGTGTGCTAATTGCAGAAGGCCATTTCCAGTCCATTAAATACATTTATTTTGACACAAAAAGGATTACTGTGATATTAACTGTCTCCCATAGCCTGAATGGTAAGCTCCACACAATTCTTGGTTTCAGATTCCAGCAAAGGATTACAGGTTACCTTGGTGCATTAATCAGAATCCACTTAGATTTTTGACAACGGGATGATGGCCAACTGGATGAAGGGTAATTTCTCTGCTTCTGCCAATACTAGCGACTACTGTGAATCCACACACAGAAAAAGCAGACTGGGGTCTTGGGAATGCTAACTGACCAAGGGTAACCTTGGGGGAGGGGAGTAAGCTATTCTTTCAGATCCTGACTGTGTGCCTTTGATTCACTGATACAAAATGTCATAACAAGTTCTTTGAGCTCTGTGGCTCAGACCTCAGAGGACAAAGGGTTGTGTTTGCAAAGAATTTTGTTCATTACCACTTCCCCAGGGCCTATTTCAAGGATTATTTTAAAGTAACTATTAAATATCCCACCACACCTTTTCCTCAAAGAGGGAAAGTTGAAAGAGACACAAATCTATCTGAAGAGGGAAGACATGATATCATTTGGAAAATGCATACTTGCAGTAAATAATATTTAAGAAATACAGCAATATCTCATGATGACTATCTTGGTCACACTAACACACCATTCTTGTGAAAAGTACATGCCACTATGAAAAGCATATGCCAAATCCAAAGGCTAGAGAAGATTCCAATTTGGGGAGTAAGGTGCCAAGTATAGAAACTGTCATAAACCAGTGCCAAGACAATAACGAAATCAAACATCATGGTTACTGATTTAACCAAAAAGTGCTTTCTTAAAGTGTAACAGTGCTTTCACAAAATAGCATAATTCTGCTTGCTGTACCATGGAAAGCAATACAGTGTCCCAGCTTGCTGCGGCAAGTGCCTGCTGGACAGATGACCAGGAGGACTGCAGAGTTCTTCCAAACACAAACATTCTGGTGCAAAGATCTCAACCACCCATGAGAGCTCCTGAGTTTTTTCTTCCTTGACTATGCCCTTATACCCTGGGATTCAAGGAATGTCTAACATAATTTCTGCTTTGATTTAAAAACTATGAAACTTTAAAGTGGTATATCTTAATGCCTTAAACAGACATAAAAATGTTTAACTGACATGGAAATATAGTTCATGGAAGGAAAAAAAAAATTAAGAGGTAGTAAGACTAATTTATAATGGTGACTTCTCTAATTAGGAAGAAAAAAAAAAGTATGATTTCTCTATCAGCTTTAAACATAAGGCAGGGATGTTCAATGTATAGCAATCTAAACACTGGTTGTCCTAAGCACATACTGCTTCAAGTCACTGCGGTGTTTTTCTCCCCTAAAGCCTTTGTTCACTGGCACATACTCTGCTGAGGCTGAGAGCACAGGGGACGCTAAAAGTCACACTACCTGCCTAGCCCTGATTTGGATGAAACAGGTCACAAATATCCTGCCTGACTGAAGGCTGACTAATCACTTTCCCTTTACATACTGATAACCATTACTTGCATGTCAACAGGGCAGTCCTTTTTTTTCCTTAAAGGACCCAGTTATGCAGGTGATCCTGTATTCTCAATCACTGACTATATGATCCACACATCACACTCGGTGTTAGAAAATACAGCAACGGTCAATGATACTGTCAAAAGGGAAGGGTATACTTTTTGAATGTTCAGTAATTTCATGCTAGGAAAAAAAACAAAGCTAAAATAATTTCTAGTTTAAGTGAAAAGTAAGAAATTTACCTAGGATGAAAGTTGAAGGGAGGACGAAAAGGATGGGGAGGGAATAAAAAGAGAGGGTAGTTTGTACTGGGGAGAGCAAGAATAATTATTGCCCAAGTACTGATGAAGAAGACCTCACAGTCACCGGTTTGCCTATTAAGTGTTACTGCATCGAATAAAATATGACTCCCTAAGTATGTGTTTGGTTACAATTCACGGGAGAGTCAGATTTTTTTCCTTTTACTAGACATGTGATTTGCTGCATTTTTTTTGACTCATAAATCTTTTATGTAAGCAGGAAGGTAAAAAAATATTTGAGACCTACATTTAGATTTCTAAGACTAAAGCATCAAATAACCAACTTACATACTTGGCCTTGGCTATACCTTTAAAATCTCAATGTACAGAGAGGAAGGCGAATGGTAAGCACTAACGCATTTCCAGTACACAGTGGCAGAAATCTAAAAACAGGAGCTCTCTTAGTGCTTGGGGAAAGCGAGCACGGGAAACACCCTGTGGCAGAACAGCTCTTGCAACACTGTCCTTCATCAATTACATAAACTCACATTCTAAGGACTAGCTGTGAAATGCTTCTAAAATAAAAATTAAATGGAAAGCTTCCATATCCACAAGAGAAAAGAAACACTGGAAAATGAAAGACAAGGGAAGTGAAAGGCAAATAACCAACTCAACGGCACAGCCATAGTTAGGTAAAAAGAGAATAGATACTATACTTTGGTTTTGCATTTTTGTATTCTTCAGTGTCTGTGTCCTCATCCTCTGAGTACCAATTATCACCTCTTCCTCCAGCCAAGAGGCCCCTGGCAGCCAACAGTCCTGCAGCATTCCCATAGCCAGTGTATTTCAGCAGACTGTCCACTGCAAAAGAAGAAGAAGAAAAAAATCCAGAACAGAACAAGGTTTGAGACAGGGATCTTGGGGCTCTCTCCAGCATCCCTAGCCACTCAGCTCCAGCAGACCGAACAGATAACCAGCGGTGGGAGACTGACAAAGGGCGGTAGTGATTACTGTACTGCCCACAAACTCTGTGTGCTCTGTGGGGTCAGAGACTCTTTTAGGCATAAGAAATTTAAAACACCTGGGTCTGGAGCAGTAGTCTAACAGCTCAAGTCCTCGTTTTGAATGCCGGGATCCCATATGGGCACCGGTTCTAATCCGGGCACCTCTACTTCCCATCCAGCTCCCTGCTTGTGGCCTAGGAAAGCAGTCAAAGATGGCCCAAAGCCTTGGAACCCTGAACCCACGTGAGGGACCCGGAAGTTCCTGGCTCCTGGCTTCAGATCAGCTCAGCTCTGGCAGTTGCGGTCACTTGGGGAATGAGTTATGGCTCTCTGTATTTCTGACTTTGCAATAAAAATAAATAAATCTTAAAAAAAAAAGAAATTTTAAAACAGGGCTGTTCTGAACATACTTTTGGCAGTACTGGGGTCTCTAACTTCTAGGCCATTGGTAAGCATCATGCTTTAGGTTTCTAATTTCAAACTTTACTTTTTAAAATCCAATTTTAGAGAAATGATAAGAAACTAGAGACTGGAGTCAGGTTGGGATTTTATCAATATGGCAATGGCATGTAAATTTTTTTTTTTTTTTACCCTTCAGAGGAATTAAAGGAAAAAGGTATAAGAAATAAGCCAACTAAAGGATTTTAGCAAATAGGATACCTAACCTAGTGTTTTGGATTTTGGTCTTAAAAAAATTTTTTTAAAGGTTCATTTACTTGAAAGGCAGTTAGAGAGAGAGAGAGAGAGAAAGAGGTCTTCCATCTGCTGGTTCACTCCTCAAAACACTGATTTTCTCCCTAAACAGCTGCAACAGCAGCAGGTAGGCCGGCCAGTCCAAAGCCAGGAAACAGGGGCTTCTTCCGGTCTCTCAAGTGGGTGCAGGGGCACAAGGACTTGGGCCATCCTCCAGTGCTTTCCAAGGGGCATTGGCAGGGAACTGACCTGGAACTGGAGCAGCCAAGACAGAAGCTGGTGCCCATATGGGATGCCAGCATTGCAGGTGACAGCTTAACCACGATGCTACAGCACCAGCCCCAACTTGCTGTTTTTTGTTTTTTTTTCTTTCAAGTTAGCAACACAGGGTTGGTGTTGTGGCACCACAAATTAAACTTCCACCTGTAATGCTGGCTTCCTGTTACTGCACCTGGGAAAGCACTGAAAGGTATCCCAAGCGCTCGGCCCCTGCCTCTAAATGGGAGACCCAGATAGGTTCCAGCTCCTGGTTTTGACCCGGTCCATTCCCAGCTGCTGAGGACATTTGAGGAATTACACAACATATCAAAGATCTCTGTTTTTTCCTCTCTGTTACTTTGCCTTTCAAAATGAATAAGTCTTTAAAAAGCTGGGAGGGGGGGGGAAGCAATAATATGAAAGCCTTTGAAGCCAGTGAGAAGGTACGCCTAGATTTTAATAATGGCTCTTCCTCTTATTCACTGCTTGACCCTGGACAAGGTATTCTGCAGCTCTACTCAGTTTTCTAATCTGTAGAAATGAAAAAGTAACTGTCACCTTCACCATTCATTGGAGCACTAAGGAATACCTGCACGAAGTACAAACTCATTCTTTTTCAATGGTAGCACTGGGTATTACTGAGAAATACTAAGTAATAACTGGTAAAGATTTCAGGTTTGTTAGAAAAAAAAAATGATGAAAAACGTGGTACCGTTCCTCTGCTGTCAGCATTATTCTGCCAACAGTGTGAAGTGTTATCTCTGAGACCCGAAAGGAACAGACACAAAACTTTTGCAACAGATTCATGCCCTGTAGGGTTTTTTAAATTAGGGTGTGTATGTGTATATTTTGTGGGAGGGGAGGAGAGGAGTGACTTTAAAAATACCTTTAAGAAAGATACAAAGCAATAAATGATAGCTTCATTAACTAGTGCTTCTTTTTCTTTGGGTACAATTTCAAGATAAACATTAGTATATTTAATAAAAAGATAAAAATAGGCAAAATCTACTTAAGCCTTTCAATAGAATCTTGATAAAATGTCACCCTAAGAACTGTAGGAAACAGAACACAATCCACTATCTATGTATAAATAAATAGGAAAGTCTACATCTGACATACTACTGTAATTCAGATCACTTACTTCAAAAAAGACATAGATGGAGGAGACACAGAGAAGAACAATTAAAGTAACTTTGAAGACCTAAAAGGGACAGTGGCTAGGACAACAGGTAGGCAAGAAAAGGGGTAAGAAATGGTCAGAGTATGAAACCATGAAGGCTGAATATTTTAGGATTTTAAAATATTTTTAAATATTTGAACAACAGGAGAACTCCCTTGATATTGAAAATAGGTAGTTTGGGGGCCAGTGTTGAGGCTGTAAGAAGGTAAGCAGCTTTCCCTGACACCTGGATCCCCATATCAAAGCACCGTTCAAGTGCTGGCTGCTCTGCTTCTGGTCCAGTTCCTACCGTGCCTGGGAAGGGAGTGGGAGATGAGCTGACCACTTGGGCCCTGCCATCCAGGTGAGAGGCCTGGACAGAGTTGCAGGTTTTGACCTGGTTCAGCCGGGCCCACTGCAACCATCTGCAAATGAACCAGCCAGCAAGTGGAAGATCTGTCTCTCCTTCTCTGTGTAAGTCTGCCTTAAAATACATAAATCCTAAACAGCAGCTTGAAAACAAATAAATGCAGCCACCATGACACTGTGCAAATCAGAACTTCACTAGTAGCCATGACATCACTGCTGACATATGTATCAAAAAAACAGGTGGGGTGCTCTTCTATTAAGAATGGCAGAACCAAATTCTATCCAGAGACTGTTCCCCCTTCCATCTAGTCCAATATTGCAACTTTTATGCGTCTGACTGGTATCCTTTTACTCCTTAATTCACACAGCTACTTGCTCAGGATACCTTGCCATTTTCCTGGATAAAACCTCTAACTTGGGCCCAGCTCGGTGGCCTAGCGGCAGTTAAAGTCCTCACATTCAACATGCTGGGATCCCATAGGGGCACCGGTTCTAATCCCGGCAGTCCCGCTTCCCATCCAGCTCCCTGCTTGTGGCCTGGAAAAGCAGTCGAGGATGGCCCAAGGCCTTGGGACCCTGCACCACATGGGAGACCTGGAGGAAGTTCCTGGCTCCTGGCTTCAGATTGGCTTAGCTCTGGCCATTGAGGTCACTTGGGGAGTGAATCACTGGATGGAAGATCTTACTCTCTGTCTCTGCTCCTCTCTGTATACCTGACTTTGCAATAAAAATAAATGAATCTTAAAACAAACAAACAAACAAACAAAAAAACCCCCCAAAACCCTTCTAACTTAGCCCCTAAAAATTATACTCAAACTCCAAAACAGAGCTTGGGCTCTTCATTTTCTGACTTCTTTCATTTTTACTAAACCTTGAATTACTAAATCTTGAATTAGTCTCTCTGTTGTACACAGCGGGATGCTTCCTATTTCTCTTCATGGAGACTTTCTCTGACCTCTACAAACCCAAAGCTTTCCCTCCTCCAGATTGGCACACTCTTTTCTAAAGTTGCCTATTACAGAAACAGCAATTTTATATTTACATACACAAATACACATACATTTATAAATGATACCTTTATGTATTTATATATGCTTATGGGACATTGTAATTCCCCAGACTGAACTGGGAGAGAGAGCACACAACTGGTTGTTCTTTTACTAGGTATTTATTGGGGAAAACTATTTGTAAGGCATTTATTTTTTTAAGCAATGAGGAGCCAAAGACAGATAAGGCCTGGTTCTCCAATAAAGCCACTAGACGTCTAGAATGCTAGTTCAACAAGTAAGAATTACGGCGTAAGACTCGTTAACAGAGGCAGGTAAAATGATACAGAGAAAGATGAACTCCCAGACGGTCAGAGAAGGCTTCACAGCGATGACGACGAAGCTAACTTAACACACTTGGTAAGGGCATTCCATGCCAAAGAGCTGCACGTGCCAAGCACAGAGTTACGTCAAGAAACAGGGCAGTATAATCAGGCAAGAATAAAGAAGTCAGTATGGTCAGGCAAGAAGCAGGACATAAACCACAGAGGTAAGCAATGGAGTAAAATACAGAGGTGAATTTCACGTGGCACAATGATGAGTGGATTTCTGTTTTGGACTAAACCTGCTGTTAACCATGTGTTAAACACATGGAAGAAAACCTGCACAAAGACAGAAAGATTGATGCTATTACTTCATTAAAGTTTCAGAAAATGACTTTAAGGGCCTGCACTAAGGGGGTGGTATGGGAGTAGAGGCAACGAAAAAGGGATGCTTAGGAAAGTGAGACAGTTTAACCCTGAGCTGAAGTCACAAACACCTCCACAATTCATCCCGTGCCACACCTAGAACAAAACAGGAGTCAATACTCAAAAGGAGTGGGAGCTGACTCGGCAAGGCAGACAGTTGCTTTACAAATAATTTCTTTTCTTTTTTTCCCTAAAGATTCATTTTTATTGGAAAGGCAGGTCTGATTTATGGAGAGAAAAAGAAAGATCTTCCACCTGCTGGTTCACTCCCTAAATGGCCACAATGGCAGGAACTAGACTGATCCAAAGCCATGATCCAGGAGCTTCTTCTGGGTCTCCCACATAAGTGCGAGATCCCCAAGGCTTTGCGATATCCTTCACTGCTTACCCAGGCCATAAGCAGGGAGCTGGAAGGGAGGCGGAGCAGCCGGGACACAAACTGGTGCCCATTTGGGATCCTGGTGCACTTAAGGTGAAGATTTAACCACTGAGCCACTGCACCAGGCCCAAATAAATATTTTTTCTAAGATTTATTTATTTTACTTGAAAGTCAGAATTACTAAGAGACAGGGAGAGACAGAAAGAAAGATAGTTGGATAGACAGATAGATAGATAGACACATGATTGATAGATAGATAAAGAG